TGGTATGTGGTGCTGAGGATCGAACCCGGGCCGCATGCATGCCAGACGAGCGCGCTACCGCTGAGCCACATCTCCAGCCCCCTGTTTTTTTTTTTTTAAAGAGAGAATTTTTTAATATTATTTAGTTATCGGCAGACACAATATCTTTGTATGTGGTGCTGAGGATCGAACCCCGGCCTCATGCATGCCAGGCGAGCGCGCTACCGCCTGAGCCACATCCCCAGCCCTTTGTTTTTTTTAGTAAGTTTTTTAGTTGCAGATGTAACAATACCCTTATCTATTTATGTGGTGCTGAGGATCAAATCCAGTACCTGACACATTAGGCAAGCTTTCTACCACTGAGCCACAATCCTAGCCCCTCATAAGTTTTGGGGGTACTAGAGATGAACTTAGGGGTGCTTTACCATTGAGTCCCAGCCCTTGTAATTTTTTTATTTTGAGACAGTTCTTGCTAAGTTGCCAATGCTGGCCTTTAATTTTTGATCCTTCTGCCTCAGTCTCCTGAAYAGCTGGGATTACAGGGGTGTGCCACTATAAGTGGATATTCATGTCTTCTTTTGAATTTGACTCTTTTCCCCCTGCCCTCAAAAACGTTTTCTTAGATGGCACAAATTGAAAGTCTGACTGCTGACCTCAAGTGGTGAGGTGTATACCATACTTCGTAAAGTTGATGTCCCTCCACTTCTTACTAATTGGACTTTTTTTTCCTCATGTAGGTGAATATGACCATCTCCCAGAACAGGCCTTCTATATGGTGGGACCCATTGAAGAAGCTGTGGCAAAAGCTGATAAACTGGCTGAAGAGCATGCATCGTGAGAGGTCCTCTTGCCAAACTTAAGCACTCATCCAGTGTATTTTCCCTCTCCTTGCCTTTAATCCTAAAACCCACAGTTTTTTGTGTAGGCCACACAAGAGCCTGATTGAATACATTTTATGTTCTGTTTGAAGAGTATTTAAGGTTTCCAATAAAATGTACACCCCTCAGAATTYGAGTGTTTTTCTTGGTTTTAATAATATAACCTGAACTGAAGTTTAAATTATGAATGTTTATTTTGAATGTGCTGAGGATCAAACCCAGTTTCTCACACATGCTAAGCAAGCGTTCTGCCACTGAACTACAGCCCCAGTCCCTGAGCTGTGAATCTTATGAGGAGTTCCTATGGATAATGTGATTTGGGTAGAGCCTCAACTTTGGCACTTTTATGGCATTTGTCCAAAGCAAATTTTTTTTTTTGTCATATTCTTTATAGCACATTTCTACTTCTGGTTAAAAATCAAGGGGATTGCAGGGTCTGTTGGTGCATTCCTATACCCAGCCACTTTAAAGACTAAAGCAGGAGGATTGCAAGTTCAAAACCAGCCTCAGCAATTAATCAAGGCCCTGAGCAACTTAACAAGACCCTGTCTCAAACAAAAGGGACTATACCCCTCCCCCCCATATTCATTTTTGGTGGTACTAGGGTGTTAACATAGGGGTACTATACCAAAGTTACATCCCAAGCCCCCCCTTTTTTTTTTTTAAATTATCACCTGGTACTGGGGTTTGAATCCAGAGTCTACCACCGATCCATATCCCCAGATCTTTTTTGAGACAGGGTCTTGGTAAGTTGTTCAGGGTCATAAAATTTTCTGAAGCTGGCTTTGGACTTTGGGTCCTCCTGCTTCAGCCTCAAATTGCTGGAATTGCAGGTGTACATTACCACACCTGAGCTAAAGTTTTTAAATTTTGAGATGGTCTTGCTGAATTGCCCAGGCTGGCCTGGAATTTGGCAATCCTCCAGACCTCTCAAGTAGCTGGGATTAAAGTGGTTTTTTTTTGTGTTGTTGTTTGTTTTTTGAGGCAGGGTGTGAGTTGTTGAAGTTGACCTTGAATGTGCAGTCAGCCTCAGCTTCCCAAATCACTGGGTATGCAGGCAGGAGCCATTCAACTTGGTGCAAAGGGATGTTTTTTAGAAAGTCATTGGGATAAATGAAATGCTTTTAGAATATTCTATGACAAGGCAGCAGTTAAATGAATTTAAGTTTTTAGGAAATGGTGATGGAATACCTATTTTTATTAAAATTGAGTTAAAATGGCTCTTTATCTTGGCTAGGCCTTCTTCAGAAACTATGCCTAACTACTGCTTGGAGGCATTTTGAGCAAGCTTGCTGAACTTTGTGATTGCCTGAGGCTCTGCAGGGGGAAAAACTGAGGTGTAGTGTGACCTCTTACTAAGACCCTTATAAAAACTTGGAAAAGAGATTAATCTGTTACCGGGARATGACAATTTTCAGCGCTGCTGCTTGGGTTTTTGAACTAAATATTTTAGCCCATTTAGGTGCAAAGTGCAAGGTCACATTTTGTGTTCTCTAGGCCCCGGCCCATCCTACTGCCCTCTGGCGGTAGCACTGAAGACTGCAAAAACTCTGATCTCACCATTTTGAAATTCATAAAGGCCATTTGCTGGGAGGTGTTTCTCTTCTAATGACTGTTTACAAACCAGCTGGGGCTTTTGTCCTGAGGTGGAGCCTGCTTTTGCAAGCTCCACCCACCGAGGCCTTCWTGTTGGTAGGAGCTGGGCGGGGAATGATCTCCCAATTCAGAGGCCCCTGGGGGCTGAAGGTTGGGGAGGGGCCCTGGGAGAGGAGCCAGGGGTGGAGTAGGGCCTCTAAGCTTCCTCCCATCTGCCTATGACGTTCTTGGCACCAGTCTCTCCTGTGTCATGATCTGGACAGAAGGTGGAGCCCCTGAGCTGCTTGTGCCTGGTAGTTTGCTCCCAGAAAAGCCTGGATTTGGGGAAATGATGAGTTATGGGGGTGGGGACACTTCCTCTAGGTCCTAACTCTGGAATGGATAAAAACCTGATGGAGAATGCCCCAGAGTATGGGTCAATCCTTTCTGTTCTGTTTTCCTATGCAGAATGCATTAGAAATCCTAAAGGTCATTTGCATCTTTCTACCCCTTACCCTGACAGCTTTATGTCCTTCAGCATTTATCTAGAACCTTCTCCTTCTTAGGCGCTGCAACTACTTATTTCCTTCCCCCCTACCGCCCTCTTACCACGCTACTGAAGTGTCAACACAGTTCTAACCTTCCTCCATATTTCTCCTGGTCTGCCCTGTCCTTGCCTCCTCCCTCTCTCCACCCAGATAAAGCCCCGCCCCTCCCTCCTCCCTCTCCACTCCAGTCTGTCACACAGGGACATCACCCTACAGCAGTTCAGCCTGTGTGGTTCGGAGGAAGCATACATTGGCTTTTTGATTCTTGCTAGTTCCCAGCTCACAGTTTGGGAGGATCCAATACCAGCTTTTGCGTGAAGGGGGGCCCAAGGACAGTGAGGAGCCCGGTGGTCCCAGCTTGGAGCSCAGCCAGACTGACATGGGTAAGTACAGGGCCAGCCCTGGGGAAGGCCTGAGGGATGCCTAGCTCCCTCCCTGCCTGACTCAGCAGGGGTGGGGCCTAACCTTTGCACATTTGGGGGGTGAAGGAGAGGAAATGGGACTATGCAGAGGTCAGAGACCTCAGCTGGTGAGGCTCCCCACCATGGGATCCTAGTATTGCAAGCTCTAGCTTTAAGGAAGCCTCTGAGCCTATATCTTAGGCGGGGGCGTTCTCCTCAACCCCGTGGAGTGTTGCCCCTTGCTCATTATTTAAGCTGGGGAGATTCAAGTAATTTTTTTTGTACTTTATTGCTAGCCCCCACAAAAGAAAGGCCCACTTTCGGTCTTGTTGGGGAGGGTCTTTTAGGTGCTTCTTTCCCCCTACTTTCTCTCGGGTCTTTTAAGTCGCAGTCTTCTCTCCTCCCCCACCCTGACCCACTACCAGGTGGGGGCTGCACTGAGCAGCTGCTTCCTGTTGCCCCAGAGGTTACTGTAAGTGCTGGTGTTGGGGCAAAACTGAACTATGAATAAAGCCCATTCTCACAGTCCCACATCAGCCTCACTAGAGCTGTTATGGATGGCCTCCACACTAGTCACTGRGGACACCGAGAGGTAGAGCAGAGGTTGAGGACTAGGAGTTTTGCCCTTGTGGCTTCCCGATTTCAGAGACTCCACGGTGGTGCGGGTAGGCGCGTGAGGAGCTGAAACACCGGAACCTGTTCACCTAGTAGGAAGCTGTGCGTGATCCCCAGTATGCTCGGCCTTGAGTTCCCTTGGTCTTCTTGTGGTTCCCACTGCCTTCTCAGCCTCCTTTGTGAAGGGGTTCTTTGGTGGCTTGGGAGCACAGATAGAGCTGTCCCAAGTACTTCGGTTCGGACCCACCACCATCCCCCACTTCGCCACAGAAGTTTCTGTCTCTTCCTGGGATCTGTTGTCTTCTTCCATCTGGGATCCTTCCTGGTTCTGGCCCCTAGGAGACGCCACCCGCTTCCCCATCCCCCAGCGGAGCCTTCGAGACAGCCCTTCCCAAGCGCTTGTTCTCACCCCAGTAGCTCCTGCCCCTTTAAGCGCCACCTCCCCCCTTCACCGCCGCCGGCCCAAGGCTGGGGGAGGAGGCGCYGCCGCCGCCCGGCTCGGCCACCTGCGCCGCCGCCGCCGCCGCTGCCCGCGGCCCGGCCCTGCTCCAGGTGAGGCCCGGCACCCACCTCCGGCTCCGGCATCCCGAGGCTGGCCGTCTCCCGGCTCCCTTCCCCGGGATTCAGGATCTGACCCTTTCACTGCGGGAACTGCCCTTCCTCTCTCCCCCGCACTGTCTACTCTCCCATTTCTCCCCTGTCCTCTGCGACCGGAATCCAGAGGCTTCTCACGTCTCTCGGTCATCCTCTCCCGGGTACCCCTCCTATTCTGGGCCCAGGATCTCCCCTCCCCCGCGCCTTCCTAGCCAGAAAAATCTCCCGCGGTCTAGGTTTCGCCTCCTCCCCTCTGGAATTAGCGCTTTCCCACGCCATCCTAACCTCTGTGGGAGGGGGAATAACCGCCACCCCAACTCCTCTCTTTCCCTGTAGTGAGGGTCGGGCGGGAGAGGGGCGCAGCATAGACTGCAGTCACTATCTGGTCATGCCTTGCTAGCCCTTCAAGTTCAACTAAGTCCATCTAAAGCTTTTCTGTAGCCCCTCTTCACCCTATGTCTTCCGGACTTTGGGGTCCGACTTCAGCACCGCCCACTGAGCTCAGGTGGGAAGGGCCCTCTTCTTGGGCCTGGGGTTGGCTGTTCCAGCCTAGGAACGCCCTTCCCCCAGAATCTAGGAGCTGGGAGACCCCGGCGCCGACGAAACCTTGCGGCTGTTTGGGGAGAAAGGATCCGGGCTGGGTCTGTCTTGAAGGAGTTGAGGTGTTAAAGCGAGGGAAKCCCAGCCTTCTTTATTCAGAGGTTGAGAGAGTCCCTACCCAAAAGAAATTTAGGCCCTCACAATCTAGTGGGGCCACCATGGAGACTCCCATTGGGAAGTTTGGAAAGATTGTAAATCTGAGGGGCACAGAGTGACTTGGAGGGGAGCATCTGAGGGGTTAGTTTCCTTTTAATGTATTATGGGAGAATCTAACCTTCCTAAAATATAGAGGGTGAGGAAAATGTTTTTCTCCAACGAAGGTGGGGTGTTTGTGTGGGGAAAGCAATTCCAATGGTTAACAAGGGCTGAAAGCCATCTCTTACTGGACCCTATGAGCAGTTTGATCCATTCAAATGCCAGCAAAGGAAGGAAGGAAGGTCTTTTATAATTATCCTACCTCCAATGGGGAATTCCCCTCCCTCCATCCCACCGCCCTCCATCCCACCGCAGCCCCAGCTCTGATCCTTGTCCCTCATTCCTACCCCTCACCTTCAGAATTAGGGAATGGGGTGTCAAGATTTGCTTCATTTTATTCTGAGTCACGTTCTAGGGGGCTGGGAAGGCGCTGGCGGGAGGGGAGGGTGGCCAGCAGTGGTGCTTGGGTTGGATGCCAGGAGTGTCTGGAGGAGGAGAAGGAAGGAGGTAGGAAGCGATGACTCCCCTTCTCTCCCTTATCCCTCCCAGCCCCAGCCATCTGGCTCCAAAATGGAGCCAGGCACTGTGGCAGCTGACCCCAGTGTCAGAGAGGTGCTGTAGAGGAACACGGGGAGGTTGAGAAAGGAGGAAGCAGGTATTAAATGTTTCAGCCTCTTTCTCTTCATTTCTTGTCCACCGACCTGACTAGAGGGAGGTTCAGTCTATTCCCTAGACACTTTTAAGTCACAAGTTGCTTAAAAAAAAAAAAAAAAGCCATTTTGCCCCTTTCCCTTTCTAGTAGCTTCTTAAAGGGAGCGAGTGGGTGATTGGTCACATCTGAAGGGATTGAGGAATGTTTGGAGACTTATGGGGTCAGTCTGCCCTCTGTCGTCTGGATGGGGAGAAGCACAGCTGCTGCATGGGGTGGCKTCCGGCAAGAAGTAAACACCCAGCTGTAGGGCATATTGGCAGCGGACCCTCATCCTTCAGAGAGCAAGGAAGATCCCTGATTAGACGCGATGCAGCGGCGTATCATTCAGGGATGAAGGTGAATCTTTCTGTACCAGATGGGAAAAGTGGATCCTGCTCCATTTTCTTTTTTAATCCCAGGTGGTCCTTTTCTATCCAATGCTCATCTTCCCGAACACTCCGCCTGGATAGTTGGGGTTGCCCTGGAGACTAGGCCTGGGGCTCGGAAGGGGTGGGGGCAGTCAGTGGGGCACAGGAGTAACCGGCTCTTCCGGAGCGGAGTGGAGCCTGCAGAGGGTGTGTGTGGGTGTGTGGTGGTGGAGCGAGGGGCGTGGCTACACCCGTCTGACTGGCGCAGGCTCCTCCCCTGCCTATCCAGTCCTGGACTGACTAGCTTTCTATTGCGGGCGTAGGTAGGAAGATTTCTCCCTAATCTGCCCTGTAAAAGGAAGAGGCGGAAAAAGGGGATACCAGTTCTGACCATTTGTCTCCTCCTCCTTTCTGCCCATTTGGTGCCTGTTCCATGGTCTGAGCTGGCCTCTCCACCTGCCTTAATTTTTTATTTTGGGAACAGAAAGGCATTCCTTAGCAGAAGTTTGCTGAATCTCTTCCTTTTCCAGAAGGAAAAGGAACTTCATTGTGGCTTCTACTAAGAYACTTCGATCAGATCCGTATGCTATTGGGGAGGGGAGTGTCTCTCCCTCCCTTTGATGACCTGTAAAATCTGTTTTGGTAGGGAAGAGGGGAGGATTTTGATTTCTACCTGTTTGCTCCTTCCCCTGGTAATCTACTTATCTCCGAAGAGGGAGAGACTTCCCCTTAGCCTCTGGCCTGCACACTTTGTGAGGCTTTGCTAAATCAAGCTTCCTTTTTATCCTCTTCTTAGCTGTTTTTAATGGTGGGTGGTGTCTTCCCCAAAACTCAGAGCCCACTCCTCTGTGGTATAAGGACATTCAACCTAGACTGATGGATTTGGCCCTCTCCCCCTCCGTTTTCAGATCTCTGTCCTTCTCAAACCCCCAGAGGAAAAGGTATTTGTTGACATTCCCCAACCTGCCAGAGTTTCACCACCCCCACTTTGTTGCTCTTCCAAGATAATTCAGCCTGAGCTTGAATCGAATGGGAATATCTTGAAGCCTGCAAAGTTTTGAATTATAAGGAAAGGAAACTTGGTTTCCTTTCTAGGCATACTTTATACACTGTTTGACCTTGAACAAATAAGTGAACCTCTTTGGGCTTTAATTTCTTAGCCTGACAAACAAAAGGTTAAATTAGAAATTAAATATAAGTACTAACATGATACTATTCCCCATCCTGGGACCTTGCAATAGACATTTTAAAGGTGACAGCCAAAATCTAATCCTCTGCTAGATTTTACTTTCCAAGTCTGTATGAAGATTTCATATAGATATGCAGCCGTCAGAAAAAGTGGAACTATAGGTAGACCTTTGAGGCATCTTATTTGTTGGTTAGTTTTCTACTTATTTCCTACCCTTCCGACTGCATTGAGGCTAGACTCCCATGTCTAGTCCCAGAATCGAGCCTCCTTTTCCCCACTCACAGGAATCTTTCTGAAGCCCAGGGCCCTGCAGATGTCGCCAGGAAAGTGGTGATCCAGGCAGGACCTGGCTTCCCCGACAGGACAGAGGTGAGTGGGCATCGGACTCTTGCCTCTCTCCACTCCTTTACCAGGATGGAATTGCCCTAATTAACCTTTCCAATTCCACTTTTCCGCTACCCCGCCCGGAGAAATAAACTGCTCCCGAAGTTATTTTCCAGGTGCCCCCCTTCTCAGGGAAGTACTACATGCCTTTGGTCCTAGAAATGTAACCTACTCTTTTGGATTAATTTTGGGACTATGGCTCATCTTTCAGTTTGTGAAGCTAGACTATAGGCAAAGAGATGCGGCTGAAGGAGCCCATCTAGGGATTCGGGTTGTAGTACTCGGAGCGGCACTAGGACCCAGATCGGGGTTTGGAAGCCAAGACGCCGGGCACTAGGACCCAGAGGCGGAGGCCGCGGAGGGCTGCTCTCTCTCGGCCGCAGCTTCCCCGCCCCCTCCGGCACCGACTCACTCCTCCCCCGCCGGCCATGTTGGCTCCGCTCGGGCCCCGCGGTTGAGCCGCGTCCCCCTCCCCCCTTCCCGGGCCCGGGACCCCAGACCCCCTCCCCCCGAGGGCGTCTCCTCCCCTCCTGGCGCCYGCAGCGCGGCCATGTGAACCGTCCACCCCCCGGGGAGAGACGAACCCCGAGCCCGACTGGTCGCCGCCTTCTCAGGTTTGTGGAGTCTGGCCGGGGGCCTGAGGGGAGGGAGCCCCGCTTTTACCCGAGGCTTTCCTTTGGGAAACCAGGCTTCCATGTCGCCTGGAGCCTTGCCTGGGGCGGGAAGCTGACTCCAGCTTATAGACCGTGGCGGGGGTCTCCCTGCCCTGGGGAATGGCGGGGCTGCTGAGGACCCCSGCACCGGGCCGCAAGGACGGGCGGAGCTGTGTAGGCTCCGGGCCGCAGCGACGCGATGGAGGAGGCGGAGAAACCTCTTGGCTGGCGGAGATGACTCCTGTGGGGGACTCGGGGTGGAATCCCCGGGAGGGGCTCCACCTCTTTCGTTGGGGGTGGGGATTGCCCGCGTTCAAGGGGTGTGTAAGGGGGTTCCCTGGGTGCGTTAAACTCTGGGGATCGGGGCATTTTGTCTGTGATGAGTGAAGGGTTGAGGGGTTTCCAAGAGCTTGAGCGCGTCTCCCTCGGGGAGGGCGCAGGATCTCTTGAGCTTGAAGTGCAGGAGAGGGCCTGGCTGGGGATGGTGCTGCTTGGCATGGGGCCCTCACTCCCAGGGAGAATCCCCCTCTCCAGGGATAGGGGTCGATAGGCCTGATGCTAGGCATTGAGATTTAAACTGGGCTCGGGGGAAGAATAAAGAGGGATTCCTTTCCAAGGAAATCCCTCAGTAAGGGGATCCCCGTTTCCGTGGCAGAAAAGGTGATCTCGCATCATCCCTTTCTTTCTCTGTGTTCTCAATTTTCAGGGGAAGGCAATGCTATTCGCAGTCATTCTTTGTAAGGCTTACTGGAGTAAGGGATTTGTATCCTTTGGAGGGTAATGGGGGGATAGCCTCCACCTCCATCTGTACACAAACAGCCCCTCCCCCAGCCTCCTGCAGGAAGTGGCCGGGAAATGGCAGCTGTGCGTTTGCTGCTGTCTGTGTCTCGTTTGCTGCCCGTCTCTGTCTTGTTGTTTTGAAATGCCCATTTAAATCAGATTTGGTTTCATTTTCTGAGGCCTTCTTGGATCCTGCCTACTGTGTAGCCTGAGAGACTTTTTCTTTGAATGTGGGTTTTTTTCTTGTTTGTTTGTTTGTTTGTTTTGGTAAACTTAATTTATCAGCTGGAAGTAGTCAACTACAGTTGACTCACTGATCCTGATCCCTTTCTCCAGAGTATCTCTGTCTCTGGATTTTTTTTTTTTTTTTTTTTACCTTTGAGCTAGAGGTCATAGAAAAACACTCCATTATCCACCAACAGAGTACATGTTAAATACTAGTGATGCAGATTCCCTCAGCATACCTGCCAAAACTTGGGGTCTTGCTTAGTTTGGTCTTAATATGACAGTTTCTGTTTTGTAGGGCACCTGAAAAAGTAAGCTTGTGAATTAAAGAAGGGTAGATCCTGAGAACTGGAGAGAGAAGAGGAGATGGAGAAGATTTAACAATGATTAGGATTTGTATATCTGGATAGGGGCTGATTGGCAAGCTTGTTCTGAATCTGGTGATTCTAGCCTAAGGACAGTATCTGTGGGAAGCCTGTTTAGTTGACTTAGGGTGCTACAGGTTTTACCTTGTGCAGAACTAATTAGAATAAGAGAGTTTGCTGTTATTTGATTACTCTTCAGTTCATAGAAGAACATCTCCTTATTCTTGGAGAATGGTAGGATTTTTCTGTTTTGTGCATAGTCATGTGCACAGATTTTCTGTTTTTTGTTTTTCACCTGATTTCTTCTGTAGCATAAAGTAATGGTACTGTGTGCTGTGTCCCCAGACATTTTGTTACACACTGGGTTTGGTTAGGGATAAGAGTTGGCCACAGGAGTTCAGATTTTGAGAGTAAAATATTAAGATAATTTGGAATATCCTAAAAACAGTGTAAGCCTAGCATTTAAATAATCTTTTCACTATTTTCCAGTCAAAAACCTGCTACGCAGATGTAGATTCCTAGATTGAAGATCCAGGATAAGAACAGAGATGTATATGATTGTATGAAAAAGTGGCGTCATAACTAATAAAATGACATCATTGCTCTTTTACATTGGGACTGTTGATATTCCGGAAACAGTAAAAAGAAGTTCATCTGATGTCATCTGTCCTTTTTCTTACCTCTTCCTCTAGACTGGTTGGTTTCTTTGAGTTGCTTTCTGATAAAGTTGATTTCACACTGATTTTTTAAAAAATATTTATTTTTTAGTTGTAGTTGGACACAATAATCTTATTTATTTTTATGTGATGCTGAGGATTGAACCCAGGGCCTCGAAYGCACTAGGCAAGCGCTCTACCGCTGAGTCTCAATCCCAGCCTCACACACTGATTTTTCAACCCTTTCTTACCTAAATTGGGACCTGACTGAGAAGTAGATTGATTTTGCCTGTTGGAGTTAAAATTAAGACTGGGTTTGGAGTGCTGGTAGAATGCTTACTCAGCATGATTGAGACCCTGTGTTTCATCCCAGTACTGGGTGGGTGGGTTGGGGGGAGTGAAGAAAAGATTACTCTATTTTTTGGAGTCTTCGAAAGAAATAGAAGCAGATTTTGAGAAAACAGTGACTTCATTTGATACAAAATTGAAGCAAACCTTTTTTTGCCTTTTTGTAAAGTGAAAGCGTTTTTCTATCAAAGAAATAGATTTCTTCCCCCTGTCCTCACTGGAGATTGAAACCAGGAGCACTCTTTACATCTCCAGCCCTTTTTATTTTTATTTTGAGACAGGTTCTTGCKTAGTTACCAAGTCTGGCAATCCTCCTGCCTCAGCCTCCAGAATAGCTGGGTTTACAGAAGTATACTACCACACTGTGCCAGAGAAGTAGATTCTTAATATTGACTGATCCTTTTCTTTAATTTCTTCCTAAAAGAAAAAATCTGAGGTAAAAAGAGAACTACGTGAGCTGAYCTCAGCCTGTCAGAAATCTAAACTGTCTTAGTGATTCATTTTGCAGTCTTGTTTCTGGAAGCAGGTGTTACCAAGAGAGAAGCAAATCCTGTTAGGGCTGCTGCTGCTGTCTCCTGGCTGTTGACCTTTTCACCTCTGAAGAGGTCAAGCCCCTCTCTATTTTGGGGGGTGAGAGAATTGAACCCTGTGGTGCTTAACCACTAAACCACATCCCTAACCCCCCCTTTTTTTTTTTTTTTTGGTATTTTAAAACGGGGTCCTGTCAAGTTGCTTAGGACCTTACTAAGTTGCTAAAGCTGATCTTGAACTTGAAATCCTCCTACCTCAGCCTCCTGAGTCACTGGGATTGTAGATGTGCACCACCATACCCAGCCTATTTTTTTTAATATGTGTATGTGTGTGTGTGTGTGTGTGTGTGTGTATATATATACACACACACACACACACACATATATATATATATACATAATTTTTTTTTTATGTTGAAACAGTATTAAAGGTATAGTCAATAACTGGGATATTTGACCTTGTGTGTACTGTAGTAAGTGAGGCAGTAATACCAGTTTTTATGTCCTAGGAAATAGTGAAAGGTACAACTTTTGAAGTATTTCCTGGCCCAGATAATGTTCCTGATTTGTTTCTTAGGATATTGGTATCTTCAGAGGTCTCATAGCCTAAGGTAAACACTTTCTTAAGAGTTGTCTCTTATGTGTGAGGACTTTTTCACCAGCTTTGTCAGATTGTTTAATTTTAAAGTTTAAAAAAGTTACACAAAACAAAACTGGGAGGAAAATAAATAACCCTATCTTTAAACAGGGTCTGGAAATTCTTGTCACCAGCAGCAAGAGTAGCTAGCATTCATTGGCTTGTGTTTTGTCCCTTCCCTTCGCTAAAGAGAACGCAGTCATATTTGTAGGGGATTGGTTCCAGGATCCCTAAGAACATTAGAATGTGAGAATGCTCAAGTTCCTTATATAAAATATATTATTTGCATATTACCTACACATATTATTCTTTTTAAAAAAACTTTTTTCAGTTGTAGATGGACACAATATCTTTATTTATTTGTTTTTATGTGGTGCTGAGGATTCGACCCAGTGTCTCACACTTGCGAGGAAGGCACTTAACCACTGAGCTACGGCCCCAGCCCCTTTATACTTTAGATTATTCTTTATACTTTAGATTATCTCTAGCTTACTTTTCCCTCCACCCACTGTTTTTGAGATAGGAGGGCTTGTACCCAAGATTGCTCTACCATTAGGATACATCCCCAGCCTTTTAAAAAAATTTTGAGATAGCATCTTGCTAAGTTGCCCAAGCTGCTCTTAAATTTTTGAACCTCCTGCATTACTGGGATTGCATGGGATAATTCCTGCAGCTCTTAAAAATGCCTACTGTGTAGCCTGAGAGACCTTTCTTTGAATGTGTTTTTTGTTTTTTGTTTGGTAAACTTAATTTGTCAGCTGGAAATAGTGCCACCACACCTGGCACTAATG